CATCTCCTGGCGACTCCTGAGCCTGAGCTGGAATAGTTGCTGTCACCAAGCCTGCCTACAGCAGCTTCCCACATCGGTCGCAAAGGGTCCTGCGACACACCGAAGGCAGAGGCCATCCCCTTCCCCAGCTCCGTCAAACCAAGGTATGGCACGGGGAATTCTGCCTGCCGAGGATCTCGGGAAGGCAGAAGGACCAGGGAAGCTTTGGGGTCACGGAGCACAAGCCGCCTTGCTCTGGGACGGGCGACTGGCGGCGGCGCCGCGGCTGTTGATCCTTTATGCACGTAAAGTTGTGAAGGGTTTTAACGCACAGCTCCGTGCCCGGGGCCTGCCCTGGCAGGGCCTCACTGGCGGGGAGCCGGTGTGGCCGGAGGGTCTGCCTGCCTCAGGGCAGCAGCATGCCAGTATCTCTCGGGAAACAGAATTTGCATACTCCTCCAAGGTGGCTGTGTATATGTTAAGCATGTATCATGAAACACTTGCAGTCCAACTCTGGAAACAAACAGTGCAAGACAGCTTCTGCCTAAAGAATTTTCCTTAATTTAGGAATTGCTTTAAGCAAACATTACCTCTGCTTCCTGAGCACACACAAGGCTACTGCCCTGGAAATAATCTGCATTAGCCTTACTGGAGTGACCACGTTGCCATAGTTACTGTTGGTCTCTCTATATACCTCAAGCTTGAAGTATTTATTATGATTAAAACCCATCCCATCCCATCCTTCATTTAAAAAATCTGTGTTGAAAGTGTCACAGAGTGAATTATAATGTAATCCTTCCCTTTAAAAAGCTGTTTTAAGTAGAAATTCCACAAATGATCTTAGACGTTGATATTTATTAAAGATCATTAATTTGTGATCGGATTATTTTTCTTCAGACATCGCTGCTTCTTTATTCTTAGTGATACCTGAATAGCAGAAAATCCTGATGCTACTATATAATTTTATGATTGATTGTATTTTTTTCTTTCACCACTGTACTGCGGACCATTCTGATAAAAGATGTTTAACATCCTCAGGTACTCAACTTTGTCCTCAGAGGCAGCTGCACGTTTGAACCAATCTGGCAAGAAAATCAAAAGCTGTCCTATGACACAGCTGGTTATTAGAAAATTTTGGTACTTGCTCTCCTAATACCTGTGACTGTTACAAGGAGAAGTAACTGCCTCTGGGATTAATCTGTTATAAAATGGCCTGTGTTTCTCTCTTTCTGGTTGGTTGGTTGGTTGGTTGGTTGGTTGGTTGGTTGGTTGGTTGGTTGGTGGTTTTTTTTTTGCGGAGAGCGAGCTCCAAACTATAAGGTCCCGGCCATTCTGGTTTTTGCTGTGAAGGAACACAGCATCGTTATCCCTGCGCTTCACAAGCATGTCCTTGTTATGCAAGTTAGCTTCCCTTGCTTTGGGAAATTACGTACTGTAGTTGTATACGACAGATCCTTTCACGTCCCAACGACACCCTCTCCAGAGACCTCCTGTTGCTGGAGGACATGCAGAGGAGCAGCGTGTTAGCGGCGAGGTTGTGCAGGTTCTCTGTAGCGGCCTGAGGTTTATCTCCTGAACCTTTTGTTTGATAGGTGATTTATTACGGCCAGTAAAATGCCCAAGACACTCCCATTTTCTCCTTTCTTCAGTGACAATGTCCTACTATTTTCTTTTTTCCATGCCTGCACCCAAACACCCTGGGATCAGCTCCCAGCCCCGCTCTACCCGCCCCTCTCTTGAGGCCTGTTACACATCTGAATTTCTGGACAGAATCCCTCTCAGAGAAAAACCTTGCCATGTTCCCATTCTGTACAAATTTGTGTTATTTTTCTATTTTCCATTATCACAGCTGCTAGGAGCTTAACAGATCTCTGATCTCTTTTCCATTTCCCCATGTCAGCTGTTACACTGCCCAGCACCAAAATTTCCTCACCTAACCTGAGCAAAACACTGGAGATAAGTTTGTCTTCCAGCCGCCTCCCTGCACACAGCATTTTGACTCGTTCTTGTCTGCCTTCTGCATCGTCCATTCTACTAAACGATAATGTGTCGTACTGCCAGCTGGTTCATTTGTCCCATCTCACCCTTCTCAGTGCCGTGAAACTCCTCAGACCGAGCTAAATTGTATTTCAAAGATATTGGACACCAAACGTTCAGGGTATTGGCGAGTGATGTGAACAAAACCAGAGCGAGAGGCAGGGCCGGCGTGCCCCCTGCTCTGCTCCGGGTTTACAGCTCGTGGACAGACACGTCTTCGGGCACAGAGTGGGCGCAGCTCCCTGGCTTCCGCACCCCAAATTAATAGCTTCCTCTCCTCGCCCCTCTTCTTTATCTCAGTTCAGCAATTGCTGTTTTTTCTTCCAGACTTCCCTGTTGCCCTGAACCGAGGTGTCGACACTCCTTCGCTGACGCTTCCCTAATCCTGCCCCACCGGCCTTGCCGACACCAGGGAAGCAGGTCCTGCACCCGGGTCCCTCCTGCATCCTTCCAGCTCACCCCACCATCCCGTCCAGCCTCCTTCTCTCTCTACTTGTTCCCTCCTGCCTCTTTCGTCCTGGCTGCACCCTCCCTGCCCTGTGCTGGAGCCTTCATTCTCACGCCTCCTCCCTGCTTGGCCTCCTCCGTTCCGCTCTGCTCGGCTCCATCGGGTCGGGGTCTGCAGAGCGGGGGGTGTGTGGGGCTGCCCTGCGCCCCACTCCTCCCGCCTCGCCCCCCACTTCTGCAGCTTTGGGGACCCTGGTTGCTCTGTGGCTCCACGGGCTGGCACAGAGTGGCTCCCCCAGAGCAGCTCCACCGAATCGCCTGCTCGTGCCCCCGGCCCTTCTCGCCCGGGCTGCCGTCCCCGCTTGCTCACCCCCCAGAGGGGTTTGCCCCCCGGGGCTGGTGGAGCAGCGCATCCCCCCGCTCCATCCGTGCAGCACAGCTCGTCCTGCAGACTCCGGGCTCTGCGCGTGCCCGGCGGGTGTGTACAGCCGGGTGCTGTCCCCGCTCTGCCGAGGGCCCGGAGCTCCGCAGCACCGGGGTGCGACGGCTGCTCAGCCCCACAGCCCCGAGCCTCGGCGCTCTGCAAGGGCTGCCGCTTCCCCCAGCACCGCTTGCTTTGGCCCCCTCCCCTCCGGGTCCTTCTACGGCTGCTGGAAATGCAGAATGCTCTTCTGTGTTGCCTGCTAGGCCTAGGTAAATTATTTGTTTAATAGGCTTGGTTTATTTTTTGTAAGCTGGCAGAATAGCTGTGAATCATCAAATCTCCCTGAATTCACTCCACACAAGATACCAACAAAAGGATTCATTGTGCAGAGCAGTAATCGGAGCGTAGCTGGGGCTGGACAGAGAAACCACACAGAGGCCGGGTAGGCAGGCATGGCCAGCGCAAGGGCTAGTGCGTGCCGCTTCAAAAACTCACTGCTGACAACGGTGTGTGGGTTTTTTCGTGACACTGGGTCCCAGCTACTCTTTCCTACTCAACCAGAAAACCCCTGGAAAAGAGCCTTCAGTAGTATTGTTGCTTCTGCTAGAATGAACACCTTTGACTTTTTTTTCCCAGCTGTTAAACAAAACATGACAAATCTGTTCAAGTGCTGCCTCTCTCTCAAAAGAGCCTCTGGATGAAATTGGAGAAGTCAGTAGGATCAGACCCTTAGTTTCCAAAGGGGTTTTCTCTCCTGTCCACCTGCTCCCTGGTCCCCCGTGCCCGGGGCTCTGCAGCGAACGTCTGTGTCACGGTCACGTTCAAGGCTCTGTTTCTGCAGAAATGGTGCCCACAAAGAAGAGACTTCCCAACATTCATGCCCCTGATTTAGCTGTCTTGGCCGTGAGCTTTCGGCTCCCAGCCCAGAGGGAGGGGTGCTGGGGGCCCCCGAGCTGTGCCTGCCCGCAGCGGGCATCACTCCTGGCCCCGCAGCATCGCCCCACCTCCCCCGGGGGGGTTGGGGCTGCCTGGGCACCCCCCCGAGCTGCATCGCGTCCTCGCCGGGCAATCCGCGGCTTCGGACAGCACCTCGCTTGGGTCCCACTTTTAGTTTCTCCCTCCCAGGCTCCCGGACTTTGGAGCCTGGGGGGGGAAGCACGGCGCTAGAAATCGAGGTGTCCGGGGGGGAGAAGGGATTTAAGAGCAGCAGGAGCGGTGTGGCAGGGGGGCAGCCTGGCCCACGGAGCGGCATTGACAGAGCCCGGCCTCGTGCCAAGTGTTCTCCAAACACGATTTGCCTAAAATGCACGTGTTTCTTTCAGTGAGCGGCCAAGGAGCCAGGGCCGGGCTTGTGGCACTGGTGGATTAACAGGCGGGAGGATGAACCGCCGCCCCCCCCGGGCCAGCCCGCGGGCGCACCCCGAGGCGATGCGCCGCGAGCATCACCCGGAACAGGGGTTTCTCCCCTCAAAATGGCCTTTTACGCGTGTGCTGGGCCTGCTCCTGGAAAACCAAACTTTTTGTTTGTCGCTCTGCGCGACGGGGTTTGCGGCGTCCCGGCGCTTTCCCGGCGGGGTTTTAACAGACGGCACCAGCCAGAAGGCTCTGCGGCTGCCGCGGCATCGCCCCGGCCGAAACGAGCGCCCCAAACCCTCCCGCCCCGGGGCGGGGGGGGGAGGCGGGAGGAGCGGCCGTGGGGTGACACGGGGGGGGACGGGGACCCCCCCCCCCCCCCAACCCCCTTTTCCTGCGGATCTCGTCGCGCCTGACACTTTCGCCCCGGCCCCTCCCGCGGGGGTGGGGGGGGAGGAGACAGTGGGAGGAGGCCCCGCCCCGCCCCGCCCCTCACGGCGGCCCCGCCCCGCCCCGCGCGCAACCTGAGCGCGGGAGCGGCGCCAGGGCCCCGCCTCGGCTGGGCTCGGTTTGTCTCGGCTGGGCTCGGTTCGGTTCGGCTCGGTTCGTCTCGGCTGGGCTCGGTTCATCTCGGCGGCGCTCGGTTCATCTCGGCCCGGCTCGGCTCGGCTGGCGGCGCTGCGGGTCCCGCCGCGGTGCGGGCGGAGCGCGGTGCCCCCGGCGCCGCCAATGAAGGCAGCGGCGGCGGGCGGCGGCGGGGCCGCGGCCGGGTGAGGCGGCGCGGAGCGGCGCGGAGCGGCGCGGGTGTCCCGGCGGAGCCCGCGCCCCCCCCCCCCTCCCCACCCCCCGCAAGATGTCATCGCAGGGCAAGTTCAAGAAGGACAAAGAGATCATCGCCGACTACGAGGCGCAAGTGAAAGGTGCGGAGCGGGGCCGCTGCATTGCGGGGCAGGGCGGCGGGGCCGCCTTTGTGTGCGGGGCGGGGCGGGGCGGGGCGGGGCGGGCTGCGGGAGCCTCCGCGCCCCGCGGAGCCGCGGCCGGGGTGGGCGCGGAGCGACCCGGGGAGCTGCCGGCCGCGGCGGGGGGGGGGACACACACACACACACCTTGGCGTGCGGGGCGGCCGGAATCGGTAAATCGGCCCCCAAAAAGCCCCCGCGCGGGGCGGCCGGGGGGGTGGTAAATGGGCGAAGGCCGCGCGGGGCCGGGGCCGGGGGGCGGCCGGGGGTTCGGGCGGAGAGCGGTGGCGAGGAGCGCCCTGATCCTGCGGGTCTTATGTAAGGAAGTTCGCCGTGCGAGTCCGGGGGACAGAGGCGTTATTGTGCAAGCGCCGGTATCGCAGGACGAAGACCTTTGAAGCAGACCGCTTTATTTCTGAATATCAGAGAAAAACACAATTAAAGGTTACGGCTGCGGAGACCGCTGAGCATCAAACGTCAGGCTCCAAAATAATTCCTGTTGCGGTTAGACTTACTGGGGAAAAGTTGGTACCCTCTGAAACATCACAAATGTCTGCAGTCTGGTGAAAGACACCGTATGTGTATGAGTGTGTGTAGTCAGACAGAAAAAAATTAGTCTGCATAGCCACCTCTCTGTTACAGAAATAGGATTTTTAGTATCAGTAGCAAAGTGTATGAACTGGTCTTTTTGGATAACATCAGTTTGTAGATCTACTCGTTGTTGCAACAATTCCTAATTCTGTTAATTGATGACAATTCCTTTTCCCACTTTCAGCTGGAGGATTCTTTGCTGCTTACTTAATGCCTTCTCATTAAGTTGCCCCCTTTGAGTCCCCCTGCTATTATATAAAATTGGCTCCCATCTTCCTTTGGCTGTTTGTTTTATATAGGTATGCATTCACCATTTTCTTATGACAGAGTTAATTAAAAATATAAAATAGCTTTTCTTCAAATTAACCCACGAATCTGCAAACTCACCAGCTTTCCTATTTTCTCTAGAGGTCACTCGGCATGCTGGGTCTCGAGCTCAGCTGAGGGATGTCTTATCTGCACATACACCGCTCTGGAAAAATAGCTGCTTAAATGCTGCAGTGCAATGCCAGATGGCAGGATTTTGGGGAAGGGGCTGTCTGTTGATTTCGTGCCATTGTTTACTTTCTTGCATTTCAGTCTTTTGTAGTTGGCTTTGAAGAGTGATGTAACAGTCACAACATGCTCTGCTCAGTGCCAATTACCTTTCTGCTTGTGTGTAATTTGGGCAAATTGATGTTATTGCACCCTGCAGTTAAGCAGATGAAATATTCTTTTAGCCTGTGGTATTGTTCTGTTTTACGGGAGGGGATTTGCATTTATTGGTAGAGACTGGCCCGCGTTTCCATGTTGTTCCGGAAGGTGTCCTGGGCCGGTGGTTCCTGCCTCTGGGGTGCCGGGGGTAGCTGGGGGCAGGACTGGGTCTGATCTCTCCCAAAAGCTTCGCTGCAGACTTCTCCAGTGTTTTTTCTTGTTGTTGTTTGTAGCTGGAATATTCATTTGCCGTGATCATTCTTGGCCTGACTTCTGTAGCCTCATGGTTTCCATATGTTAGGCAGTTAATGCCGGGGTTGTATATAAGGGTGTTTTATTGCACCGCAGCCGTCACGTTTTGGGCAGCTGTAAGGCCGTTTGCCGACGGGCTGGTAATAATTTCCTTGATACTATTCTGCGCCTAATTACACCTCCAGAAATGTCCCTTTTCGGATGTAGGGTATTCGGTCTGTATTTTCATCGGAATCAAGGTTAATTTGGGTGTGGCCGGGGTTCACCTGCTCCTGAAGCCGGGGCGAGGTGGGGAGGGTCTGGCGGTGGTGCCTGCAGGTGCTGCCCCCCCGGGCGCGGCGGGTCCGGCACAGGACCGGGGTGCTCTCGGGGTGGCCTCGCTGAGCTGGAGGGGCTCCGGTGCTCGCGGCTGGTCCTGGCAGCCCTCGCTGCCACCTCCCTGCGGGGCCCCGGGCGGCGCTGGCCCTCGCCTGGGGTCGGAGCGGGACGAACGGCCGACTGCAGGGCAGTTGCTGCGGGGGTCTGCTGTAGCCTGTGCTTCACCACTAAATAGGGGCAGCGGAAGAAACGGGGCAGGAAGATTCAGTGAGAGGCCAGTCGTGGCGTTAGCGGGGAGCCAGGGAGCACCGGCTGCCCAGGGCGCTCGGCGGGGGAATGGGGCGTTTGCGGCGGTCAGTCGCGTACCGCGCGTGCCAGCGCAACGGATCCGTGTGTCATCGGTGTCAGCAAAACCCGGCGTCGGGTTCGTCGTCGTCCGAAGCCCCCGCGGAGGCTGCGACAGCGACCACCGACACCCACCTCCGCTTCTGCTCCCCTTCTGCAAGGCCTGGCCTCCCTTGGCTCCACAGGGCTTTCATGCAGGCCGCCTCCTTACCCCGGACGCCCTGCTCGCTTCCTTCAGGGATTTAGTGGTTATTCTGGTCATATCTAAACCCATGCTACCCTGGTGAGGGTGGATACACAAATCTCCAGAGAAAGACTGAAATGGAGAAGTAATGGGGAGAAAGAAAGAAAGAAAAGAAGGGGGGAGCGGTGGTAAGGGAGGCTAATGGAAAGAAAATGTTGGCACAGAAGAGCTGAGATGTAAAGATGATAAAAGATGAAGACCTGAAGTGATATCTTGTTATGGAGGATGAGGCTGAAATCTGAACACAGCACAGTGGTGTTCCCCGCGGCACGGTCAAGAAAACAGCAGGGAGAAAGGTGGAAAACCCTGCACGTGAACATCGGCGCGGGTGCAAGTGGCAGTAATTCACAGCAGAGCTGTGTCTAAAATGCGTTTCAAGGACAGATGTCAGAGAGGATTGGAGGCGGTGAGGGTGCTGGGCAGCGTGATCTGCCAGCGCAGAGGCTCTCGCAAGGCAGTAACCATCCAGCAGTGCCTGCAGTCATAAAAACCCCGGAGGTGCCCAGGTGTTACTAGAGGAGCCTGACAGGCGACTGGGATGACATGGTGGAAAAAAAAAAGGTGTTGCTTAGACTGATTTTTTTAGGTGAGTTTTGCTGGAAGCCCTCTTGCTCGGGCGGTTGGGAAGCAGCACAAAGGCCCTGCAGGGTTTGGGGCCGGGCTGTCAGTGAGCCCTGCCCTGCCCTCCCGCGCCCCGGGGTGCCGCGGCCTCGCTGGGAGAATTGATGAGCCCACACTTAGTGCGGGGAGCGTGACCGGCGTAAGTAGAGCTTAACTGGTGAATAATCTTCGTGCACAGGGGTGATTTATCAGCCGTAACGACCCTGTATCTTCTTTCCCTCCCCGGAGAACCGCGTGTTTGCGTGGTGGGAAGGAGCTGTCCCGAAAATGCTTAGAGAGGGTGGAGGGTGTGTGCGGGCTCTGCCCGCTGCCCCGGCGCCGGGGGGGCGATAGCTGGGGCACGGTCACTGGGCGCTGGTGGTGCCGCAGGCCGCCCGAGGCCTCGGGCCGGTGCCGCTCCGTTTTCGGGGGCGGGGGTCCCGAATCCTGGCTGCGGGCTGGCTGTCCCCGCAGCGCTCGCCGGCTGCCTGCGCGTGGGGACGTCTCCCCGCAGCCCCTCCCGAGCACACGCCTTCCCGTGGCCAGCTCTCTCCTCTCCGTTCTCGTGCTGTCGGTCCGTCCGTCCTGCTCCTGATCTCCATCCTTCATCAGCTGTCGGGAGAGGAGGAGCTGGCCCCAGGATTGGCAGCAGGTGCTCGCTTGATGGTACCAGGAAGAAAATATTAAGGATACTTTTTAGGAGGCCGGTTTTCTTATTTCTCTTTCTTAGATTTGCAGAGAAGAACAGTTGCATTAAAAATAAATGCCAATAAAGCTACGGCTGTATATTTACAACTGCCACGTTAAAGCTACTTGAGGAATACAGAATAAAGTAGATCCTTGGATGCACAATTTAAAGCCAGTGTTTTCAGATGTACAAGCTTAATTGGTCTATCTGGCCAGAAAGATAAATAAATGACTTTTTCTTGTTACTGTCAGATGCGTGATTTGTTGCTTTAATGCAGCAGAACTAACCTGTTTTAATTCTGTAGATGCAACCATCTATGGTACGGCTTTGTAAATCTTGCAGAGAATGGGGCATTGTGTTGTTTGGCTGTTCAATTTTCATATTGCTTCCTGAAGCTTTTCTTTAACTCTGGCAAAATTCAGGTCCTTCTACGATCTATTTGGTTATTGTTGGCAGGAGGACTGCTGTGAGTCAGTAGCAGCATTTTGTCATATGGCTGGCAGGTGAAAAGCATCCCTGGCGATCCTAAAGACGGTAGTCTTTAAATGGTGCATCTGGCTGCACAGTGGTAAAGGGATGATTTCTTGCACTTCTGGGACTCTTAGTTGATGTGTAAATTGATAATAGAACTAGAGTTTTGATGGATTTAGCGTATAAAAACATTAAAAAGGCTTGCAAACCTGGGGCCAAAAAAACCCAATGTGTGTTTTCCCATTTTCATAGGAGAACTGCAGCTTATGTTAATTTATCATTGCTTGTTAGCCTCACTTTACTTTTTCTATTGCAGTATCCGCATCCCTTCTTTTATGTCTCTTCTCATTTCCTACCTATTGCTCTCTTTCCACTTTGCTCAGAAAATTTTGGGAAAATTCCCCCACCAGATTATTTTCTGGGGTTATGGCTTGCTCAGGAGGGAAGCTTGGCTCCCAATTGGAGGAGGCATTGAGGCTTGAAACTTGACAGCCCATTTAATAAGTGCTTCTGTGCAAAAGAGAAGAAAGTTCCACCCCTTTGGGTGGGCTGGTAGGGAACTCTTAAATATGAATTGCAGAAACTGATACAAAATTTCCATTGGCTTAATTATCTTGTTTCACAAAATGTGGGGAAGTGTGACCCGAGGGCCAGCTGGCGTGCCTTGGCATAGCTCCCTCCGCTTCGGTGGAGACGTCTGCAAGAGATAGCAGATCCCGATGAATCAGATCTAGTTTCTACCGTGAGGCTTCGGAATAA